GCCCACACCTTGGTGAACCCCGGCTACGCCGAGCCCGCCGCAGGCCCCGAGCTGCCTCCCGACATGACGGTGGTGCCCGGGGACCACCTGCTGGAGCCGGAGGCGGCCGACGGCGCCGGGGACCCGCCTCAGGGCGGCGGGGACCGCTACGAGCCGCTGCCGCCCGCGCTGCCGGACGCCGGCGAGCAGGACTGCTGCGGGGAGCGCGTGGTGATCAACATCTCCGGGCTGCGCTTCGAGACGCAGCTCAAGACCCTCTGCCAGTTCCCGGAGACGCTGCTGGGCGACCCCAAGCGGCGCATGCGGTACTTCGACCCGCTCCGCAACGAGTACTTCTTCGACCGCAACCGGCCCAGCTTCGACGCCATCCTCTACTACTACCAGTCCGGGGGCCGCATCCGCCGGCCCGTTAACGTGCCCATCGACATCTTCTCCGAGGAGATCCGCTTCTACCAGCTGGGCGAGGAGGCCATGGAGAAGTTCCGCGAGGACGAGGGCTTCCTGCGGGAGGAGGAGCGGCCGCTGCCCCGCCGCGACTTCCAGCGCCAGGTGTGGCTGCTCTTCGAGTACCCGGAGAGCTCCGGGCCGGCGCGGGGCATCGCCATCGTGTCCGTGCTCGTCATCCTCATCTCCATCGTCATCTTCTGCCTGGAGACGCTGCCCGAGTTCCGCGACGAGAAGGACTACCCCGCCTCGCCGTCGCAGGAGCTGTCCGAGGCGGCCGGCAACAGCACGTCGGGGGCCCCCGCCGGACCCTCCAGCTTCTCGGATCCCTTCTTCGTGGTGGAGACTCTGTGCATCATTTGGTTCTCCTTCGAGCTGCTGGTGCGGTTCTTCGCTTGCCCCAGCAAAGCCACCTTCTCGCGAAACATCATGAACCTGATAGACATCGTGGCCATCATCCCTTATTTCATCACTCTGGGCACCGAGCTGGCTGAGCGACAGGGCAATGGACAGCAAGCTATGTCCCTGGCCATCCTGAGGGTCATCCGGCTGGTGCGGGTCTTCCGCATCTTCAAGCTCTCCCGCCATTCCAAGGGGCTGCAGATCCTGGGGCAGACGCTGAAGGCTTCCATGCGGGAGTTGGGGCTGCTCATCTTCTTCCTCTTTATCGGGGTCATCCTCTTCTCCAGCGCTGTCTACTTTGCCGAGGCAGACGACCCCACTTCGGGTTTCAGCAGTATCCCGGATGCCTTCTGGTGGGCAGTGGTCACCATGACGACAGTAGGTTACGGGGATATGCACCCAGTGACCATAGGGGGCAAGATTGTGGGGTCACTTTGTGCCATCGCTGGTGTCCTAACCATTGCTTTGCCAGTCCCTGTGATTGTCTCCAACTTCAATTACTTCTACCACCGGGAGACCGAAGGAGAAGAGCAAGCCCAGTACATGCACGTGGGGAGCTGCCAGCACCTCTCCTCTTCAGCCGAGGAGCTCCGAAAAGCAAGGAGTAACTCGACTCTGAGTAAGTCGGAGTATATGGTGATCGAAGAGGGGGGTATGAACCATAGCGTGTTCCCCCAGACCCCTTTCAAAACGGGCAATTCCACTGCCACCTGCACCACGAACAATAACCCCAACTCCTGTGTCAACATCAAAAAGATATTTACTGATGTTTAATGTATGATACAAGTGACATGCTGTGCTCTGTATTGTGTGACCCGTGCCCCCTTGGTCTGTGTATGCCCTTGTTTTATACATTTCCAGACCATTCATCAAGGAAAGGACATGAGGAAGTGGAAAGCACACTTCATTCTCCCTCTCCCTACTGCTTCATACTGAAACAGGTGTCTGTTTTGCAAGTGGGCTGCATTCTCTCAGCTCTTCTTTTTCTCCCTCTCTCTTAATATTGCAAACAGCAAACTTAACTTGAAACTTGATTTCTAGTACACACCCTATTAAAAGAAAAAAACCCTGTACATCCTGGGAGGAAATGAAACTACAGAACAGAGTAACTATTTAACCTCAGAATTAAAAGCTAGCTGTTTTTTTACTCAGTAATGCAGGCACATACTTAAGTGATGCTTCCGTTTGGTGGACCCTTCAACAGTATTGGATATTTACTTGCCTACGCGATGGATATGTGGATGGAAAGTCTAATCAAAATGATTTATAAACCCACCATAAGTTTATTTGGTTTTTCACTGGAATTTCCATTTGAACCCTCCCTCCCAGAAGTTTAAGGATCTGTACAACTTTGAACAAAGGAAATTCCCTAGATGTCCTGATCTGACTAAGTCAGTTAACTCTGGGGCTTGTTAGGCATTTTGAAAGTATTAGACTAACAGATTCCTGTGAAGTTCTGTGTGTGTGTGTTCCAGCCAGCATCTATACAAGTCTGGAAACAGATGTTCTCAGTGCTGCTGAGAGAAACAAAAAAATGTCTTAATGCATCTGAGAGAGAAGCTTCTGCAGTATCACAAGAAGATTAAAGTGGCAGACACTCCTTCCAGCGGAAGTTACTAATTTGGACCTGACTGATGCAGTTCCCATAGCAACCCATGTTTCCTGGGAAACCCGTAAAAGGTTGTCATGGCATCTCTTGCTCTCTAGCCCCACCCCCTAGCCCCTGCCGTTTCCACAGTATCCTTTCCAGATGGTTCCTACTTACATGAGTTCCTAAGGAAAACCACTGTTTGAATAAACTGCACAAATAAAGTTAATTGTGAGAGTCCAAGATGGTGAAAAGAATCACAAAATGCATATATTTACCACACACACACACACACACACACACACAATCATTGCTATCATCCCATAATGACTGAATCGAGAAGGAAAATATCTTCTTGGGAATGTTAGATATACACCACAATCAGTCGTGATTTGAATTAAATGCCAGTAATTGGGCAATAATTTCAAAAGATGCTTCTTTACTGTTTTTTTTTTCACCATGGAGTTTCAAGCCAACAAATGAAATCCAAAAGCAAATATAAAACTGTTCTGTACATAAGCAAATGAGAGATTCAATGTACCTGAAACCTTCTTAACAAAGGAGCCTTCAGACTTCCTTTAAAAAAAAAAATCCAGATTCTACAACAGCACTGTCACCATTACAGCACTTGAAAAGCTAAATAAACTTGAAAACTATGAAGGATGCACGTTTTTCACTGAGGGAATTGCAGACAATCAATAAAAAGGAGGGACAGGAAGTAACCAAATCCTGAGGAAATACCTGAAAGTTTCAGCCGTATGCCAGGGGTTGCCAGAAGACAGAGATAACCAGGTGAGCGCTGTGTGGGTCGCTGAGAACACTTCCTTTCTGTACAGGGAAGCAGGGAAATGCCATTTATGTCTAGGTTAGTGATACTTGCAAAACCAGTCGTTTTATATGAATTGCTTGCTAGGTGCCTTGTAAAGATCATTTAGAACCTTTTCCATTTGATTTCCATGTTGCTGCCTGTCTTTTGGTTTCCATTGTTGTTGCAAAAGGATGAAAAAAAGTCATTGCTCTTCAGCATATCCTTCACCCAAACTGAAAATGATTCCATTACATTTACCAACCCACTTGGCTTCTGAACAACCTGTTTCCCCTTAAAAAGAAAGGATAAAATACAGAAGCTACTGCTATTAGATTATTCCAATTTTAATTTACATTATTATTTGGTAGTATGCCACAGTACAGTTCTTTGAAACAAAAATGGTTAAAATTGCAGCGATGGTAACATTTTATTTTAACAATCATTTATATACATTATATAAATTATACATTATATACATTTTTCACAATTGCTTTTTGATCTCGATAGGTTATAACTATTCTATCCTAGAGTAAATGAGAGTAACACTATTTTAAAGCTCATAAAATATTTTCAGGTAGTCAGAAGCCTACTTATGGAATTATTTGTGCATTTGAGACAGTGAAAAATAATGATTAATAATATAAGAGAAAGAACAGGAAGGAAAAGACGAAAAAAATAGAGGCTGGATATCTATATACCTGGTAATAAGGTCATGAGTGTCAACCTATGTTCATTGAAATAGCACCCCTTTATCTAGTTTTCTTTGCTACTTATTTGGTTTACTTTCAACATTGATCTAACTTCTGACTAAGTTTTGGTGTTCTTAATGAGCAGAAATTCTTTTTATAACCCATTTTGGTGGTTATTTGTTAGACACACTATAGTAAGAACATAAGAATAATTTTTGTATCTGTTCTTAAAAGATCTTAAAGATGAACAAAGTGCAGTGACAGTTTTATTCACATTTATTCAGAAGATGTAGAAACCCTGGTGAGTTCTATAAGTAATATATGGTTGTACCATAATTTTTGGAATTGTATGGTTATTAAATAATAATAATATGAAGGAGAACTTTTTTTTTAATCCATTGAAATACGGCTTTTGAGTCCTGAGTTTGAGGTAGCACAACTGCTTCTAGTTGCCATATTGTAAGCTCCTTAAAGGATATAGGTTCTGGGTCTTGGCAGAGTTTTTGATAGTAGTTCCTAGCACAGAATGTAGCATCTTATATGTATTTAATGCATGTTTGATGAGTGAATGGCTATGATCTTACATTAATTGTTATTTTCAGGCTTTTAATGAAGTGGTTTAAAGAAAAAGCTTTTCAGTCATATTGCCAGGATTTGAATCCTGACTCTGCTGTATGACCTTGAGCAAATTACTCAACCTCTCTGTGCCTCAGTTTCCTTATTTGTAAAATGAGGATAATAAATAGTACCTTATAGGGTTGTTGTGACTATTAAATGTTAATACAGGTATAATACTTAGAATAAGTAATTACATGATATGCAGCAGAGATTTTGCTAAGAGATTACATTATTACATTACACTGTTCGCTAAGAGATTATATTATTGTCATCATTACTCACAAGCGTTGCATTATTAATACTGAGCTTTGTGAATGATATGAAATACACAAATAATCAGTGTCTTCCTATTTACTTTCTATATAACAATAATAATTACCATTTATTAAGAGTCAATGATGTTCTTGACACTTCTGAACTTTGCAAGGTAAGTGTTATTAACCCCATATTAGGAGGGTAAAAATAGATGGTTAAGGTTAAGTGACTTCCCTAAGACTTCATAGCTATCAAGAGACCCAGCTGTAATTTAAAGCCAAGTCATTCTGGCCCCAAATCCCATGTCCCTTTTATTGGGTGAGTTGAAAGAGCTTGAGAAAATAAATTTCTTACGCTTTTAGGTTTGACTTTTCAGCCCATGTTACTAATTAATGAATTCCTGTACAAAACATATCTCCAGAAACCTATTTCATTCAGTATACTGAAAATTAACCCTTTTCTAATCATCAGACATTTCTAATCATCAGATATTTTTAACCGTAGGGATCAAATATAAGTTATTTAAATCTGATGAAGAGATTGACTTTTCCAGTAATAAAAGATTATTTTCTTATATGATTGATTTATTTGGATTTAAATACTCAGAAACTATGATCAGTCACAGTAGTGATACCTGCTAGGACAATGGATATTTTTCAGTTTTAAGATTAATTTCCTATTTTCATGTGCTTTCATCTACAATAGGTGATAGCATTATGCAAATTGTTATTTTTCCTTCTCCTTATGCTTTGCTTAGGTTACCAGAAAGCCATGCCAGAAAGTGGTGCAAACATTTGGACTCTCCCTTATTAAGAAGGGAGAAATTACTTAGAACAAAAGGATTGAAAGCAGGAGATTGCCAGTTCATTGAAATTTGTGACATTATTGCCTTATGAAAGCATCTGTCTTCAAAACAACATTAGAATATAATTTTGTCCCCACATAATAGCTGTAGCTTCTTCTATAAGGTCCAAAATCATTTAGAAAAATGAAAATGGATAATGATTTGGGCTTAGAGCAAAATACTAATGAGCCTAAGTTTACACAGGCCAGTTAGCTTTGCCAATCCACAGACTTCACTGTTGAGCTCAATGGCAGGTCTTGGATGTTGAAAGGTCTACTCACACATACATAGCTCTGTGTGTACAAGAGATTCGTGGGAGTTGTGACTGGATCAGTGCACAACCATCTATAGCCTGGGGGAAAAAATCTATATACCCTACAGCTGGTGAATCCAGAGATAAAAATAATAGCACTGTTATTATCTTATTTACTTTATGATGTTTTAAACTGACATACCAAATTTAAATATCCACCAACTATGGTGAAATAATCACAGACAGTTACATATAAGAGGAAGTATTGTATTAGTTATTTCTAAACTAAAATTTTGGGATTGAAATTTTAAATGCACAGTAAGAAGAAATTTCAAGTTATGGTTTGTTGACTTAAAATTTCTTATTTATCCCTTCGGCATGTAACATACTCAAGTAATTGCTTTGCTGATAGTATATAAATTCAATATGTACAATATATACCAACAGTCTGTTCCTTGGAGAACCATAACTATAATTTACTGACTTCTATACATTTAAAATTTCAACGTTTTCTACAGCATCTTCCAAGTCCTTCCCACCTCTCAGCTGTGAATAGAAGTGATAACCCCTCCCACTCAGAAATGCAAAGAAGCACATGAGTCCCCCAGTCTGAAGACTTATGGAAACTGAGATAGAGGTGAGGAGCATACACACGGGGAAGAGGATACTTAGGCCTTGCATCTTAGGGTGGGGTTTTATTCTTTCTGTTTTGTATTTGGTCTTTTAAACTAAGGATGATAAAACCATTGCTTCTGTACTACTAATGTCCTATATTGTGTTTGGCAATTTTATGTATTTTAGTGAAATCACTTGTTTTGTTTCCTTTTATAACCTGCAGGGAGTGGTTGATAACCTTTGAGAGAGGGCAAGTCAGAGGAGACAGGAAGAAGGGAGGGAAAGCCATGCAGAGCCTGTACCTTACTGTGGTGACTCAGCTCCTAACCTGCCAGAAAATGGCCACTGTTACAGAGTCTATGATCATTGTGTTCTTTATATGCTCACACTCACCCTGAAACAGAATTTATATGATTCAGACAGGTTAGAAAGTTCTCAAATATTTGTCTTTGTTTTCAGTGATTCTGGAAACTACTTTTGTCTTTGATATTAGAAAAAACATTTTACCAAGAAACATTTTCATGGTTTTTCTCTCTCTCTTTTTTTTTTTTTGTACTGGATGTGTTTTTCCTTACATTTCAAATTTTGCACCATTAACCATCAAATGCATTTAAGAAGAGATCAGGGGGGAAAAAGGCTCCACCATTTGCTTGGGAGCCATTTTATTATTGTTGCAATCTAAATGGTGCAGAATAGGAACTCTGGCCTGAAAAGTAAATCTGGAATTCTGGTTGTTAGTAAGATAGCCCTTAAATGAACAACAACAACAAATTTCATCATATCTGAAGAATATGGTGCACGCAGGGCCCAGACTTTGCAGATTCAGGGTTCATCCCCCCATTGTGATGGTAGGGAGTAGAGACAAGCTCTTCCTTGCCCGTCTAATGAGCCCCAACCTCACAGCCACCCCTACTATCAGAGCACAAAGGCTCTTGGGAATCTCCATTGAGATTCGAATGGAAGTTAGCAGTGTACCTATGTGTGATATGTCTGTCAGCACTGCGATTTCACTTGTGTTTCAATACGTTTATTTTAAACTCCTGTTCTTTATGGAAATTCTCTCTGACTCCTAAGGTTCTTATTTTTATGTATTTAAACATGTTCCTTAAATTAAAACATATGATTTAATTTGGAAGAAAAGTCCTGCTTGAGTCTATTTTTAGCATAGCAGCCAGAGTGATCCTTTTAAAACACTTGTCAGATCATGTCACTTCCTTGTGGCTAAACCCCCAGTTGGCTCCCAATTTCATACAGAATACAAACTAAAGGACTTACAGTGGCCTGCAAAGCCCTACCTAATAACCCCCCCCAACTTCCCCTTCTGACCTCATGTCTGACTCTTCTCCCATACTGGCCTCCTTGCTCTATCTCAGATACACCAGGCATGCTTCCCCTCAGGTCTTTGTACTTGCTGTCCCCTTCCTGGATGCTGTAGTATCTGACATCGGCATGGCTCACTCCATCACTTCTTTAGGTGTCAACATCTCTGTGAAGCCTTCCCTGGACACTATTTAAAATTGCAGTCCCCCGCAGCGGTCCCTGTATCCTTTCTCTGCTTTATTTTCTCCTCTAACATGTTAGATAGTTTACTTACTTTGTTTATTGTTTGTCTTCCTTTTCCTTCCACGAGGACAAAAATTTTTGTCTGTTCATTTGTTCTGTATCCAAGACCTGGGATAGTACCTGGAATAAAGTCGGTGTTTAATAAGCATTTATTTGGAGGGGTGAGAGGAAGGAAATAACATTCCAATTTGAGTGTTGGAAAGCTAGACAAAATTGTCATGTTGTGTATCTATGCTTCATGATGTCACTGTGCGGCTTATACTCCTCAACCTGCTCTTTTGGATAAAATTCCTTGCAGTACATGATTCATGGAGAAGGCTTCCATTGGGTAAAACAGGCCCCAGGTTTTCCACATGAAGTACTATCCACAATCTTGGGGGTAGAATTCCTTAATATAAATAATTTAAATATAACATCATATGAGATATCATTCTTAATGCCATGGGTCCCCAGAAGTTAGAATGCTTCACAGAGACCACGTTTGTTTCCTAATAGCTAATAGAGTACTGTTTGTTAATGACATCCAATACGTACGTGTTGACTGATTGGCTCACGTAGTATGGCACAAATGTACAGTGATATCTCCAGGACTTGCCTATCTAGCAGACATTCTAAGAAATTCCCAAAGAAGTTCAGTCTTGGTTTCAGTTAACGGTGAGTCCTCAAAGATCCATGGGGTCTTCATTACTACAGAAGCTGATTGAATAAGGCATTGGAGAGTTCATCAGTGAATCACTTTAAACAATTACATTACTGTAGATATGGCCTTACTGGATAAAATGATTTCTTTTACAAAATAACCTCATTTTTAATATTGTCAACTTATAGGATTTCAAAAATAGGCTATTTTTTAAAATGCCTTTTTCATATGTGAAAGCAGATGGGGCCATTGAATCCATGAGGCGTAAAAACAGATTCTTAGAGTGACTTGTATGATGGCAAAACTTAGGCCATTTCTAAAGAAAATAGGTGAGAGACACCAGTAGCATATGTGGGTATTGGGAAATACCACGTGGCTTTGAAAAACCAACATGTGTAATATGGAATTACTGAAACTAATTAAAGCATTGATATAAATGTGTAGTGCAGATATTGCCACGATTTTAGATAATAGTGTCTCAGATGCACCTTCTTCTGCAGTAGGAAACGGAGATTCTTCTTATATGAAGAGAAACTCCCCTTCGGAATTTTCTCCTTTCCCTGGATTTCTCAACAGTCCAGAGATTGACCTGGCTGTGGCCTCTGTACATCCAAGTGGCACAATTTCCTTCCCATATATGTCACTAAATTAAAGAAAATGAATATATGTGCTTGGGATTACATATATAGACCAGTAGAAGTTAGAAACTCTTGCCTTCCATCATTTTATATAACTAAGCCCACGTAGGACAGAGATCATTTCTGTCTTCTGAGGACACATTGTTGGGACACAAAATAGAGAACTGAATCATTTTTGTTTATTTATTTTTTTTCTGGTTTTGGTTGAGGAATTATACCTTTTTCTGTTATTTAACTCAATATGGGTTTTACTGGATTTTCTATTATAATCTGGTATAGCCAAAATACTAGATATTTAAGAGGGAGACTCACATGCCATTATAGTTTCTATTTGCCTCATGTATGAGTATAGGACAAATATATCAGATATTCACTAATACGTTATTTCTATAAGAAACTGTAATAAAATCATGTTAAACAAGAGTGTGACTATATGTCAGATTTCAGAGTGCAATGGGCAATCAAAAACCACAGAGAGGGCCGGCTGAGTGGCGCATTGATTGGGAGTTGGCCTGGGATGTCAGCTCTGAGCAGCAGGGCCCCAGTTCGGATCCCACATGAGGGCCAGTGACACTGCGCCCTCTACAGCTAAAATGGTGAACAACAGCTTGACCTGGAGCTGGGCTGTCGTGAGTCGCCGGCGATGGCATAGGCTGCAGTGGGGCTGGCTGGTAGCGGGTATGAGCTTTCGTGAGCTTTTGTGAGCTGCCGTGAGCCTCCGTGAGCAGCCGTCCAATGGCTGGCAAGTGACTGCCTCTCCCGGGAAGAGCGCAATGATGATACCAACTTGGGCCAGTGAAGCGACGTCGTCCACAACTAGACTGAAGAACAAAAGGACAGCCACTTGTCTGTTCCCCTTCCCCGATTCCTCAACGCTGTTCCCCTTCCCCAATTCCCCAATAAATCTTTAAAAAAAACAATAAACAAACACAGAGAGACATAACTTCTCCAAGTAAGCACTGTGTTTGACTTCCTTTATACCTAGATTCTGTAAATCCTTTACCTGCAAATGTTTTAACTGTTTTCAGAAGATAACTATAGGTAACTATGTGAGTTGAGGATATTTATTATTAGTAGACCTAAATACTGCTTAAAGTAGTATTGATTACAGCCCACAGCTCATTTTCCCATGACTTTCCAGATTTTTGACAAAGCTCACATCTTAGCATATTACCTACTTTAGTTACTGAGTGAGTTTAAAGTTTTTTTGCTTGCCAAGAGTACATAATTTCCAAGAAGCCAATCAGAGAATTATACATAATTGAGCAAGAAATCTTTCTAGTCCATGGGGCTAATTCATTACCATGTAGTTGGCAGAATTTTTAGAACTTGTTGGTATGCAGCTAACTCTAAGTTATTTAATAGATGTCAAATATAAACACATGAAAACAAAGATCCCATAAAACAACGTTATGGAATGTTTTCAGCCCTTAACCTCAAATACAAGTTAGTGAGGCTAACAGTTAAATAAGATGGGTTTCTGTACCTCTTTCATTTAGGCCTTGGTGGAGGTATTAATTACTTCTTCACAAACTTGATAATTACAGAAATTTGGCTGTTCTTTTTTTTCTTGCTTTACAGTTTAGAACATTTATTTGGCCAAATATCTTCAATTATAGATCACCCTTTTATATTATACTTCCTTTCTGTCTTCTTGTAGAATTGATTTTAATACTTAAGGCAATGTCCATCCTTCTAATCCCATCAACCCATTTCTTAGGCACTGATATAAACATTATGATTACTATCCAAGCATCACTTTTATTTTTTATTTCTTTTTTTTTTTTCTCAGCGGCAGCTCAGCTCAGGCTGGGCATATCGAACCGCTGTTGCACAGAGCTCAAACTTTTTTTTTTAAAAAGCTTTTTATTGGGGAATTGGGGGATGGGAACAGCGCTGGAGAATTGGGGGAAGGGGAACACACAAGTTGCTGTTGTTTTGTTCTTCAGTCTAGTTGTGGAGGACGTTGCTTCACTGGCCCAAGTTGGCATCATCATTGCGCTCTTCCCGGGCAAGGCAGATCGGTCTCCAGCTTCTGGACGTCCACTCCTGGCGGCTGCTGGCCATTCACACTGGCTGCTGGCTACACATGGTAGCCCATGGCACCCCACTGCAGCAGGGGCTGCAGCCTACGCCGTCGCCGGCGACTCACAGCAGCCCAGCTCCAGGTTGAGCTGTTGTTCAGCATCTTAGCTGTAGAGGGCGGTGTCACTGGCCCTCATATGTGGGATCCGAACCGGGGTCCTCTGGCGTCCCAAGCCAGCTCTTAACCAACGTGCCACTCGGCCGGCCCTTATTTTTTATTTCTATTAAATTGCAATGACATCTATAATCTATTAGGATGTCAAACTATCCCATATTTATTTAATAACCCCAAAAGCCTTGAGACATGTACTGACTGACACATGAGGTTAAAAAAGGCCAGCTCCTTATATAGAAAGGATGTGACAGTAACAAGATAAGAATAGCTTAACAGAACCATCTCAAGATCACCAGGGCTACAGTGGCACTGCGCAGAAGCTAGGCACTTCGGAAATAAAATGGATGCTGGGTCGTTCACCTTCCTTATAATTGCTTATAATTAGTAGTCACTAATAGCTATTAGACCATTATAATTTTCAAACTCTCATAATGAAAATTAAACATACTGTGATGCAAGAATATACTCTTGCTTTTTTATCAAAGACGAGTGTTAAGAAGTTTTAATCTTCCGTGCAGGGTGATCAGGTGTAACCCAGGCCAGTAAGGAACACTTCACTCGCTGGGCACCCAGCACACACTAAACATACAACGTTTAGGTTAGTAAGTGAGTGATTCTTCCTTAAAAAGCACACTAAAATTTTGGGTCACTGGTTTGGAGACACCTGCTAAAACCAGGAGTATATATGGGAACCAGTCTTCTGTAGGTATTATGATGGATAATATTTGCATATTGAAACCTGGAGCAGGGTTAAGCATTTTCTATTTTTGTCTTTATAACACAATTAGTAAATCTCTAGAGTACATCAATCTAATTTTTACGTATCCATTTATTCATTCAACATACATTTACTGAGTAGCTCTTAAGTGATAGGGATTTATTTATTCATTTAATATATAAAGTGTCTACTATGTGCCAGACACCATTCTAGTTTCTGTGACCAAGACAGCCATGCTGCCTTATGCTATTCTTAGGAAATACTTCACTGTCAGTATATGTATAGTAGTTGGGAGACGAGAGCACCAAACCTTGAACTTTTATTTCTTGGTTTTCCACAACAGACCTTGGTCAAGTGGTTATTGTTGTCTTAATTTGTGATTTCTTAAAGTGGTACATAACTCTGCAGAGTTCATATTTTCAAGAATCAACAGATTTGAAAGTTATTTGTAATGACAAGGTAAACTATAGCCATGACATCTGTAGCACCTAGAACATGGTTTTCACAGTACTCATTTTGAGTCAGTCTCGCTTTCTCCCTCCCTCCCTCCTTCTGTCTCCTCTTCACCCCAATAACACTTAATCTGAGCATGGGATTTCTATTCACTTCAAAAGAGTTCTCATCTTAGATTACCACAGTAGGATATACAGCCAGAAAAGTAAGAAACCCTTGGAAATACATTGAGAAAATTAATATATATTTTTTTCTAAAACACAGTAGACACTCAAAACTTTTCAGATGATTCTGAAGATGAAGATATAGTTTCCTGTTCAAAAAGCCAACAGTCGCATTGGTTTGAGCTACATTTGGAGGTCGTTATTAATAAAAAATAGAAAGTTCATAATTTCAGCATACTCTGAAACTTTTTCTAACTTAGAAATTAAAATCATTGAATACGTAGTTAATACATTCAGAAAATTAAATTGCTTGACCTTTTCAGGGTAACAGTAAGAAAAATATCCAAAGTTTTGAAAAGTACAATATAATGGATAGACTATTTTACATTACTGTAAGGTCTATGATTTTTCAAAAAGTAAATATACAGTAAGTTATTGTGTTTATTCTGTCCCACAGATACCTGAAGAGCCCCACAGAAAGAACTGTCGAACTGCACTGACAGTAGGATGCTCTTTTTTTAATTGCCTAGCTCAAGAATGCAGTGTTGGTCCTTTCGCCAATAGGTGGTGATCTGTCTGCCAGCACATATTTCTGTTTCAGTTGTCATTAAATAACATGTCTCTAATAAATGCTTTATATAAAGAAAACAGCTCTGAAGCTGGAGGAGTCTCTTCAAATTGTATGCAGTAAAAACGATACCAATCAAGAGATACAGAAGAACATTAATATTAGGCTATCGTTTCAACCTTCTGACATTTTGATGAAATCTAATGATCCAAAAACTAATCAGTATTGCTGATAAAGGAAGCCTAAATGTTTGTTTCCAACAAGCCAACTATTACTGTTTTCTCCTTTCAGTTAACTACTGGATTCTGTTTAATCATGAGATAATGTCATCTTCTATGTTCTGGGTTATGTGCAACTTTATCTGCAAAGGTGTGTTTTGTACCAAAGGCCCCCATATGTAGATTAGCCCATTTACCGGTGAATAAGTGAAGTCTACACTGTGCCCCATGAACGGTTTTAAAGACAGACTTGCCTAAAAGAAATGTGCCTTGCTTGATTAAACATTCTTTTATTTTTTGATTCAAAATGATAGATTTGCAACTTAGTCTTGCAGGCAGGTTTTAACTGAGCTTAACTTTGAAAAAGTATATTAGTACTTACTATATGTTTAAGTTGTCTATCTTAACTAAAGTTTAACATTCAGTTATAGTTTTCCACAGTCCATATATAATGTACTCATTCAATTTAGTTTTCATGCAGTGTTTGGTATGGCGAGACAAAGCACATTCTTAAAGATACACGTATGCAGTATTTCATCTAATGTTTCTAGAATTTCCTTCAAAATTGTATGTGTAAGAGGTTTCTGGATTCATTTTCTATTTTTATATTCTTTTAGAAATGAAACTTTTTTCAATAAAAAAAAGCAAAGTTTTCATTGGAAAAGAGATTTAGGAGGTCATGAAGATGATTTCCCATTTGGGGACATTTCACTTCTGTGCCATTATTGATGTATTTACTGTGACATTTCAGCAGAATGGTAGCTATTTGTATATTATTTAATAAGCCTTATGGAAAGTCAAACTGTGAACACTTAGTATAAAGAAGCCTTTTTTCCTTTCCGTATTTTATTTTCAAAAGTACCTGAGCAAATGCATAAATAACCAGTTTCCTGTTATTCAAATGCATAAGAATGCTAAGTTATAATCAGAGCACTTGTAGAACTTAAATTCCTATCAAAATATTTTGGTAGCAAAGCCAAGATTATAATACTGTTTGATGCCCTATGGAAGGAAATACAGGTGATGAATTTCATTGTTAATATATAAGAATCAGTAACTGACACACTCTTATATTTACTAGCAGCAAAACAGGTGAATAAGAGATAAAACCCAGGTAACTTTCTTTGAGGCAATGTCTACAGTGAATTTCATACAATCTGCTGGTAGTTTCTCTATGGTCAAAACTTTGAGACCAGATCACTCTAGGAAAAAGTGGAATAAAAGAGTGATAGTTATCTCAGATTTGAGCTATGTGAACCTCCAATCTGGATGATTTGTAATTAAATTAAAAATAGAGCCACCACCGCGTGCTCTTTCTGTGTTAGCCTGTGTTAGAGACAATGGCCTGGGGAATAGTCAGTCCATTCCAGTCACCTTCGTACTCATACTGATACTCACAGCCTGATCAGCAGTAAAGTAATTCACTTTAGCTATTGGGATGATTGACACAAATCAACCAACTGTCCTCTTAGACATGCAGATGTTTTAGTGAGGTTCTGTAGGTGTTACAAAAATAGACATAGGAACTTACCTTCATTAAACACCAGTGACACAGCTTAAAGCATTATCATGTATTTAATATTATATCTGTGTTATTATTACAGGCTACACTTTCAAATAAAGACAAAACCTTGACTTTTGCTATAAAAACACAGAATGGTCACATGAGTAAACCATCATATCCCATATGGTTCATTTGAGTGAATAGTAAAAACAGGATTGTTCTAGATATCAGGAGACCAGAATTCTTACCCACTTTCTACCTGTCAGACCCTTAGTAGGTCAGTTACTTACCATTGCTAGGTTTTCAGTTTCCTGAATTGCAAAATGGTTGTGCTGGGTCAAATAACCCCCAAAGCCCTATTCCAGCCTCAGATCCTCATTACACACGTGAAAAGGCTTTGAAGAATACTGAAGTACTCAGATTTTCTTATGTATTTCTGAAGAAAAGAATAAAATGTAAGCCTTGAAAGCATCATAAATATGTCATTCTTCAAACTATGAGAAGAGGAAATGGATTTTTTTTTCTCTAAGAGTTGACACTGGTCTATAATGGGATCATGAAAAAGTAGAAAAGTCACTCTGTGGAATGGAAACGAATGAAATAGCTGGAAAAGAGGGAGGTGATTTGTTAAATCTAATTAGATGTTAAGGTGATTTGAAATGGGATACGAAATGCTAAAACAGTACTAGAGCTTTGCTGCACACTCGATATTATGATCCTGGGTGTAGGGGGAGGTGGGGGAAAGGTGGGAGGGATAGGAGTGTTTGCCTATCTTCTGATTCCTTTTGCACAGGAAGCAGTTTGGTAGAGCTAAACGTGTGCATTTCTGCTGGCTCTGCCAACGGTTCTCATGGGCCCTGGGAAAGTCCCTTTAACCTCCCTGAGCCCCAGTTTCTTCATCCGGACAGTGAAGACTTTAAATTTAGTAATCTGTATATTTCTTTGTATCTTTCAAAATTCTCTAACATTTTCAGTGTTAAACTAGATGTGTATAGGTATCTCAGTCACTGAGATACCACGTATTTCTACTTATGTGACTGAACAGACCGCAAATTCAAATGTTCCTATTTCTAATATTGCTAACTGACCTCAGCAAGACGTAGCAATGTAAACCTTACTTTTAATTTTGACCGTGTTTTATTTATTATGATTTAGTATTTCGTTTTTGAATGTTGACTTAGTTATCTAAACAAAATGGCCCTTCCAATGAAACTTCTATTTAAATTTTTGTAGTTTAATAAACACTTAGCAAATGAGAATTAAATATATTATACTTATCAATGAACTGTAACTGATTGTAAGGTGCACTTTTGTCACATTAAAAGGTGAATGCCCTTTTTGTCCCAGAAGCAACAATGGCTATAATTTAAAATAACGTTCACAAAATTTTGCCAATTTCTGTGAATACAAAAGAGGCCTGATAGAGCCATATTGTAATTAATTTTGCTCAGGAGTGAGAAATAAAATTCAGGGATAACTCAAATGCTTCTGTTTGACTTTAGTGGACAATTGGGAAAAGAAGGGTTATAGGTTTTGTACAATATAGATAAGAGATAATTATATCCATTGAAAAATAAGAGTATATTCTGGTTGCTGGTTTTATGGTAGAAGAAGGTTATAATAGAAAGATGCTAAAATATGGACACTAAGGAAATTGTTAAAATGATAGCAGTCCATTTGAATAATACAGAACTATTTTGTCATACTGAGATTATTTGTTCAGTTTAGTCTTATGTACCCTTCCATTCAGAAAAGGAAGCCATTTTTTAAGGCCTCTATCATAACAGGAAATAGGTATTTTGGCTAGTGGAGCAATTCATTAAAACATGTAATCTGATCATTTTGGTTTTGTGAATCTGAGTTTTCACTTTAGATGTAATTGAATCTCTTATGTACTAGTGTTAGTGATCTTTGTGAGAAGTAATTTTATCCATGTTTTTCAAATTGATGAAATTTGCTAAATGGTGATTCTAGCATATTGTGTTAATGATGTACCTTAGAACTATTTGTGAACTGACCATACTAAGACAAACCATAGTAGTATTTTTTCTGGTAAATTGTTTCCATGATACGATCTCGTAATGCTGGGTTTAGGGGTGGGGGAGGCGGGGTTAAGTATTTAGTTTACTTAAAGCTGTCAAAGTGTTTTTCCTAAATGCCATAAAACTGTATGAATATAAAATAGGGATATCTTTTTTTTTTCATTTTTAAGGGCACTGTATAGACCATTTTTGAAACTACCCTATAAAATGTATAATTTTTGTTTAAAAGTTCCTACATATATGTACAAGGGAAAGCAAACTGTGTGTGTAGTATTTCTATGTAATATGCACAATGTAGTAAGAATGTATATTTGAAATCTTATTCAGATAGATAGTAATTATGCAGATGTCAGAATAACAAATACAATTGAATTTTTTCATAGGGATATCTAACATTTGTTTATTATCTCATACTTTGCAAAGATCACTCACATTTTACTTAATCTTTAACATATCCATATGAAGTACTAATACCATGTAAAGTTTAGAGAACGAACAAACATGGTTTAAAAAAATCAAGACACTTGTCCAAGATCATATGGCCAGCAAATGGGTCTAAATCTTGTGTTCTTTACACTATTCATCTTCTGTCATGTTATTTTTTTCCTATCACTGCCATTATCTTTAAAACTTTGGCTAAAATTTCATTCTAAATGATACACTGGGACATTTTAGGGTTTGTTTACAAAGCATTGTTGCTGTTATTTTCAGGGCTTTTTAGATACTTCCAAAATGTAATCCTTCCACAGGGGGATAGCCAACCATTTTCCATCTAAAACATATTAAGTCCATACACCCTGACCCCAGATACTCAATCCATATGATGTCAAAGTGCTAGACTGAAAAAAGTGATCTTCACTCATCTTCTTTCTAATGTCCACTTAAAAGAATCCATCTTAATGACTGATTTCTGAACAGTTGAAGGACGCAATAATCAACCCAAGAAACTGCAGCCATTTTGATTCAGAGAGAAAACAGACTGTCAGACCCTCCAGAAGTAACCATTTTTCAGCCTACTGTTCTTTATCAAATGTATTCTATGACTAGGGAGGACAGGGAAGAAGGTTGGGGAGAAAAACTGTCTTTATTTTAAGAAAACTCATTATTTCCTGTAACTATTCAAAAAGAGTTTGTTATCAAGTATTAGATAACAGTATTATTAACATTAGTCATAGTTCAAATATATGGTAAAGTTTATATATTTTAAAATCCACTTAAGTAATTTCCCAGATAAAAATGTGATGACTGCCCAGTTTGGATATGGAGAACATTTAGTTTTAATCAGTGACATAATGCTACATTTTCATTCTTTTTTCAAACAACGTA